TCCCTGTTGGATGGAAGGTTTATTATTCTCTTCTAATATAATGGAACCCAATACAATATATCACATTTAGCTTCAGGAAGCTAAACAGCGGACATAACTCCTTGGAATGAGAGGAAATAATCTCATTATACACACACACACACACACACAGATATATATATATATATATATATATATATATATATATATATATATATATATATGATAAAGAACAAATCGAAAATGTTTATCAATCTAACATGTTTCATTGTCATTAAAGCTTCATTAGAGAATAAGTTATGGAGAAAAACGAACACAATTCTGTTATTTTTTTAAAAAATTTTGTTTGCTTTTCATTGGTTAATCGAAATTAGAAACGCCGCAAATTATACTACGGCAGTTTCAAAAATTCGAATGCACGTGAAACATGGCCCGTATCAAAATATGTATTATTATTAGAATTTTTGCCAACAGTTTACTAAACAGATAACTAGGGTAACAATAATCAAGAAATCAATAAAGTTTCTATAGACATATCTCATTTGACCTACTTCAGAGTTTCGCTCATTACCGCTCATTATGTTCAGGGACTCTGGGGTCCCTCAAATCACTTAAGTCCATTGGAATTTATTGATTTATTATTATATATATATATATATATATATATATATATATATATATATATATATATATAATGTAATAAAATATATATATATATAATGTAATAAAATGTTACCTTAGAAAATGCAAGTTACTACTAAAACATTTCATATTTTGTTTCGACGTTTAACATATCTCATCAGGTAGTTTACAATGATGGTAATAAACGATTTTATTATAAAATTGCAATTTATGAAACATCACATCTTTTTACATTTATTTTTCTTTTTACATTTTTTTTTCTCCAAAAATGTTAAAAAGAAGTGATATTTCATGAATTGTAATTTTAAATAAAACCTTTTATTACCATCATTGTTAAGAACCTGAGGAATCGTGTTAAGTAAAATGCGCAATTTTGTAGTAGCAACTTAAATGTTGACGTATACCAGTTTATAAAAAGAAATATTTATTGCTATACTCTTGTATTGATCTTTTTTTTTAAAAATTAATGTTATGAACGTTTGAATTTTATTCTTTTCATTCTTTTACATTTAGACACACACACGCATATATATATTACTTTCCCTGACGATCCGTTTAGGTGAAACCTAGGTAGGTTTGTCTGGCTCACTAGGTGTATCTAGGTCTGCTCTACGGTTGTATTGAGCTCTTTTGTTAGTTAGTTGTTTACTCGTGTCGGGTTTTTTTCTATGGTCTTCAGACCTGCATCTGTGCGATTTTTTTTTGTCGGCAGAAGTTCGTGTTTGTAGCTCTTTCTTTTTTTAAAACCTTTTTTTCTCTCGAGATTGATTTGATTATTAGCAAATAAAAATTCGAGGGTTTTTCGAAACGAGTCTACTTATCTATATATATATATATATATATATATATATATATATATATATATATATATATATATATCGTGTATTGATTGCTGGAGATATATATAAATAAGGAAATATCTGACTGAAGATATATATATATATATATATATATATATATATATTTCTTGGGAACTTTACACACTTCAGCGTCGAGAATATTTGCCACACATATTAAAATATTATCTGTTACATCATTACACGTGAGACGTATCTAACTAATAACAATAAACACAACATGTCATTAATCTGCATCCCTGCTTTTTATAATATTTTGTCAATTCTATCTTGATCTCTGACAAAGTTTTAATAAAGTGAAACTTGTTAGATTAAGATCTTTTTCTTACTTGTTCTATAGCCTATCATTTGTCAGATTCCTATCCATACTCTCTCTCTCTCCTCTCTCTATCTTTCTATCTCTTTATAAATATATATATATATATATATATATATATATATATGATTCGTGTAGACGGAATAAAATTATAATAACCAAAATCTCTATCCTTAAAAGAGTGCTCAATGCAGATTAGATGAAATATTATTTTATCATTTATCCAAAAATTATAATATAAATCATTTTATAAAATCACTACAAAAATAGCCATTTTGCTTCAACACTTCTGGTGTCTTCTCAAATGATTGCGTTGTATGTAGAAGAGTTTTCTTTATAAAAATCTCATTATTCTACATTCAACACCATCATGTGAGAAGACAACAGAAGTGTCGAAAAAAAAATGGCCATTTTTGTAGTGGTGTTATAGTATGTTTATTTTATAATTCTTGAATATATATATATATGTGTGTGTGTGTGTGTGTGTGTGTGTGCGTTTGTGTGTATGATTTCTTTTTTAAGTAAAAATAAATAAATATATTTTAAGTAAACCGTGATGACACTGTTCCTTATCTACAGATATATGACATAGTAAGAAATACAAGTAAACATTCATTTATCGCGTGTCTCTTTAGAATCACGCAGGGATTACAAACGCTCTTCAGGAGACTCGATTTTTAAAACTGAATTCCAAATGAGAAATAAC